CCCCCCTGCTGCCTTGGTCTCCTCTTGCCCAGAGGCAGGAGCACAGCTCTAGAAGCAGAAGGCTGCTCTCCGAGGAGTCCTTGTCTGCCCCCCATCTGGCTTCCTTTCCCTGACTTTGCCACGTGACTGTCATTATTAGCACCAGAATGCAAGAAAAAGCTAAAGCTCTTCCTTTGGCCTCTTGACCTGAGACGATTTCTAAAAATGGTTGGCTGCTTACTTGACCCAGAAAACCCCTCAAAATCATGGAAACCAAGAGTCTTCTTGCTCCCTTTAAGAACACCTGTGAAACTGCCCAGGCCATCAAGTTATGCTTCTCCAAAAAGCCACCAAGTATCTAAATGATGTCACTTTATGGAAGCAGTGTGTGCCATTCCATCATTACCACAGCGGAGTTGGAAGGTGTGCCTGGGCCAGACTGTGGGGCTGGACACAGGGTTGGTGGCCTAAAAAGAATGCAGAATTTTTTTTGGCACATACTTAAAAACAGAGAGTGAGGCTGAACTTAAAGATTTTGATCACCGAGCATATCCAGGTGAACAAAGTCCCCCGAGGTGTGCCCCGTACTTCCAGAGTTCATGAGCAAATTCACCCACACTAAAGTTCCCCCTGCCACAATCAAATGACACTAAAAAGGAACAAACTCCTATCCTAAACTCAAAGATGTCCTAGAGGAAACTGAGGAAGCAACAATTATGACCCAGGAATACATTCAGTATAAAATAAATGCAAGTAAGTTGAAGCTGCCAGAGACATTAAGTACCCTCCTATCATCACCTAAGCCCCTTATGTAAACATTTCCAGATGGACTAGTTAAATCTAGAGCAATCCATCAACTGTGTTGAATGTCACCGGTTAACAGAATTGGTGGAATGCTGGAATGTTCCATGCAGTCTTACCTGAGCTGCTCTCTCCGTGCTGGTCCTGATTAAAGGCAAATGTAAATAAGTTTAAGAACGTCTCTGTCCTTTAAACAAGCTTGTAGCTGACACTAGTTACATTTTGTCCTTGAAGATGAAACATAGAACAGATCAGAGCTCTGTCACAAGAAATACATAATAAGTCCTTTTCAGGCTATCTGTCCCTGATAACTGCTAGTGATACATTATAAGTCATGAAGTTTTGCAAACTTTGAAGATCCTCACGTGACATTTCCTACTTCTGCAAGTGCCTAGTGAGAAAGTGAAGTGTGCTTTATTGTGGGAAAGCACAGTGTCAGTGTCAGTACACAGCACCATGAGAGGCCGAATCAGTTCCACAGACATCCCTGCATATATAATGTTGCTTCTGTGTTTGAAAACATTCTTACACTTTGTCATTTTGTCCCCTCCACCTTGGGAGGGGTCATTCCCATGCTGCTTTGACGAATAGGGAAACTGAGGGGCTAGAGTGAGTGGGAAACTTACCCCAAGTCTCAAAGCTAGTCAGTGCCCTGAGATCTGGATGTTTGGCTTCCTTTCCTGCATTATGAGCCAGAGTCATTCTGTGACCCCACCATTCGCCTCTGAGGACGCTGCTCTGACTCTCACGGCCGGCCTTCAGCCCAGGCTTTACCTTTTCTAACCTTGGTTTCTTCTCCTCCCTCTCCCCAACCTGCCTTGCTTCCATTTTAAATTTGTTTGAACATTGCTTAACACATCCCTCCTCTTATACCAGCCGCAGTCTCAGCCCTGCCTCGGCTCTGCCTTCAATTGCACAGTCACAGTGGAATCCAGGAGACTCCCACAGAGGGACAAATGTGTAGGCATTTTATGACAACGAGAGCAACATCAGGCACAAACAATATGACCCACAGAAAAATAAACCCAGGACCAAAAGTGCTTTACGACGTGTGCTGCTGTCATTACATTGTCTATTGTTGACTTTTCTGTGCGAGAATGTCCTGTCACAGTGGGACGTTCTGTCCTGTACCACACAGCGATGAGTCATGATGACCCCATCTTTGACTCCGTAATACTAGCTTCCCCTCACTCCATCCCAGCATTACTTTCCCAAGATTGTTTAATTCTTCCAGAAAAGAACAAAAGAAGACGTTTTTATCAAATGTGTGTTTGGGAACCAACTATACAGGTTTTAGGTGCCGTGGGACTAGAGCAGGCTTTTTCTCTGCTGTTGGTGTCCATTCCTTCAGAGGACTGTGCATCAGATGATCCCCAGAAAGAAAGGGGAACAGACTCGGTGCTTGTAGCACAGTGGTTATGGCGCCAGCCACATACACTGAAGGTGGCAGGTTCCAACCTGGCCTGGGCCCACTAAAACAAAAAAATAGCTGGGTGTCATGGTGGGTGCCTAGCTACTTAGGAGGCTGAGGCAAAAGAATCGCTTAAACCCAAAAGGTTGAGGTTGCTGTGAGCTGTGACACCATAGCACTCTACCGAGGGCATCA